CACTTTATCTTGAGTTTCTCTTATACGTGAGGAGGGAACCTCAGGATAGCTAAAGCCAATGCTGTTTTTGGAAGCCTACACCAGAAACTGTGGGATAAGTGAGGAATCAGACTTGGCACAAGACAGGTGTATGTTGCTGCAGTTTTGACATCTTTATGCCTGTGAAATCTGGATGACTTCTGCCCTCCATATTAAAAAACTTAATCACTGTCAGTTGTCTTAGGAAAATTATGAAATACATTGACCATATAAGATCCCTGACATAGAACTACTTTAAAGAGCTAAACTACCAGGCATTGAAGCAATGGTCAGAAAGGCACAGCCGACATGGGTTGGTCATGTTGTCTGAATGCCTGACAGCAGACTGCTGAAAAAGCTGTTTCACTCTAAGCTAGCCCAAGGAAAGTGTACACAAGGAGGTCAGAGTAGTTACTATAAAGACAGTATTAAGACAGACCTTAAGAAATGTAACATACCTGCTGCAAGCTGGGGGAAAAAAAGTCACAGGATAGTGTATGCTGGTGGTCATTCAAAGAACCTTGAGGAACTCTACAGTAACCAGTCTGAACCTCCTGCTGATTGACAGTGCCCAATGTGTGGAAGAACCAAGCAAAAATATGACTATATTGCCTTCTCTAAAAATGAGGTGACACAACTGGTAATGGAAATATTTGGCTGTCATAGTTGACTATGATGTACTACTATCATCTTATTAAGTCAGATCACAAATATTAGTTCACTCAGCGTAAAGGAAAACATAGTGTGTCTATTTTTTTTCTGATACATTGAGTTAGAAAAAAAATCAATTTGTAGATTATAACAATATCCAAACTTTGTGGCTGTAACTGAATGTTTGGTTAATCACGAACATGATCGTATATAACAAGGTTAGAAGTATTGGTTACTTCCAGTGAATTAGTAGACCTAACTTAAGTAAATCTAACCAATGAAGGGAATCAGAAGGTTAAATATTTTTACCCCGCTGGAACCATTGCTGTGTTTTAGCAACCTCACAGTGGTGTGTATGTCAATGGCTGTACTTCCTTACTGATAAGGCTATTGTTAAGGAAGTGCTAAGGTTGGAGGTCTGGCTGTATGTACAAGTGTATAACAGGAAACTAATGGATTGAACATTCACATTTTCTTGCAGCAGTGCATTTTTGCAGTATAGTAATTGCATTTACTATTCATACAAGAAGTGGTATGCAAGCTATATCTGGATTGGCAGCTTATTACTAGGATGTTATGATCTAACTAGATGTGATATTTAAGTCTGCAATGCTAACTGGATTTCTAAGGAATCGGGGGCTAAGTTGATGTGGATTTTTAATCTTGATTTTTACCATAAAAAAACTATGATTCTTGATCACTGGCCATCTTGTGTGAACAGACAAGTTTGCCTGAAAGCTGTGAAGTAAGCCAATAGTATGGAAAACTTTATACAAAATTATGAAGATTTTGATTGGTTCCAATAACTCCTGGAAAGTTGTTCTTGGACTGAATGAAAAAGGACTCAAGGTAGCTAAAACCAGTTGTCACAAATGGCCAGTTCAAGCCTTCATTAGTATTGGATTGTCTGAGGCACTGTTGGTTAAAAGACCTAAGGAGACAACCAGACCATTACTGCCACAACCACAACACCAGTTTATGGCCCTCCTACACCTTGTGCATCTCCTACTGAGAAGAACTCTGCAATGGAGTTGATCTACAGCATATTATCCTGTGGAGGGACATACCATGACTAGACAACATCAATGTGAGGTGTCTGCCCACCTTTAGTAGTACCACTTAATTCCCAATCCAGAAAAAATCTTCTCATTCCCAAAAAGTGGCAAGAGGAAGAGTTTCATCCTGATTCTATCAAAAATTTTCAATGTTGCCAAGTTAACTCTTATTCCTAAAATGCCTTTCTCTTATTATACCGGAGAACCTGGGTGAATCCATCAACTGGATGGAGGATGCACTTTATGCCAAAAGGAACTGTACCCCTGCCACAGGAGAAACAGTAGTGGAGATTATCATCTTGATATCCAAAAACAGATATATACAGAAGACCTAGGAGACTCTGTGCATGCTGTTTTTTGGATAGTGATGTTTCATGGAAACAGTGGACAGAATTTTCTCATTTCTGTGAAAATATGCCTTATATGTAATGTAAAGCTTTAGTTTGTTTGTTTTATCAAATCTTATAACCAGTTCTGTTTTATTCAGAAGTGCAGTTTGTCCTGGTTGGATCAAGTCATATTTTATTTTGAACTTTTCTAATTTTATCTTCTAATTTAAATTATACTTATCTAATATTTTCAGTTCTTGTTTTGTTAACTGGTTATTGATTTTAAGTATCAATTTCATTGTTTTTGCATAACCTTATAGTTGTCAATTTGGTCTTGTATATGTTTTGTTTACAACTGAATTTTTTTTTATCCCCTGTTTTATATATACTTTTCAACACAATTAAAGGATAATCAAAATTTGTGTATTGTAACTGTAATAAGAGAGAAGCTACAGATGTAAAATATGTCAATCACCCCTCTCAGTTCATTGTTGTACAAGGTGTTGGTAATTCAACATATACTACATACAATGCTTGGAGACAGCTTTAATGGGTAATGAAGAAAAACTTGTATTAAAGTTTTTCTTCATTACCCATTAAAGCCGTCTCCAAGCATTATTAGTCTCAAAGTGGGTTCTTCATCATTGAATATACTACATACAGTCATCACTTTGAAGTGAATCACAGAGTTGAAAGTAATTGATATTGATATCAAGATGAATCCTGGATGTTTTACTGATGTGAAAAGCCACTGAACAAATGAAAGCCAGCCAATCAAAGCAGGCTGTTGCAAATTAGCTACAGTCTGTCATAGTGCCATTAGTAGAATGTACAGTTGCTTTCAAATCAATGTATGATTGTTCATACACATAGACAAGGTACAAGCAAAGTGACTGCTATATGTCAGTTCTGACTCATTATGATCATAGGGTACTTTCTCAGAGATTGAATCTGGTGTTGATGGGTGGAAAGAGACCAGAGGACAGTGAGATGCATTCCACTCATAGCAAGGCTCAAAACATCTTGGCTTCAATGATGCCAAGAGCACATCCAGTGGACTAACATGTAGATCAGTATTATTTTTGCAGGTGAGTTAACTTTACCCTGCTTCCTTATAACAGGCCTCTGTTGATTTATAGAGAATCTGGAACTTGATCTACCTCATTTACTTACTGACCTCTGTATTCTTGGAATGTTACTACTGATGTTACACACAAGGGTCAAATTCTACAACTTTTTACTTTTGTATGCTGGTACAATTGGCCTCAATTTTGGTTGTATTGGTAATATTGCTAACCTTCACCATGCTAAGTTGGTCAACACGTTCTTTGAAAAAGAATAAATTGACTGAATGGAATATCTTTCACACTCATTGGACTTCAGTTCCATCAACTGACCCCACATGTTAGTGATGCCCTCAAAAATAGCTTTTTCAAAGAGTGGTCTAGGATAACTCCAATAATCTTGATTTTCAGAATGCAACATATGTGCCAGACCTCCCTTGATGTTTATGGTGGTTGTACTCCATAATGAAAGGAAATTTAAATTATAAAAAATATAAAACCACATGTACCAAACATTCATTTATGAACATAGGTTGATTGAACAATCATTGACATTTTGGGTCACATGACTGGTCATGAAATATATGATTTGCATAAGAATCAACTGAAGGAAGTGATTCGTAATGTTTTCTAACATCAATTTTGTTTAGTCGTAACTGCAAGATTACAGATTTGATCATCATATTTAATTGTTCTGTGCTGTTTATTCTTTATTTTTATTATATTTAATTAATGAGTTTCCTTTGACTTTACCCTTATAATGTTAAAATTCCAGTTCTGGTATCCACAGTGAACAGAACACAGCTGTCTCGTTGTGTAAGTAATCATGACTAAAGTTTATTAAGGTTCAAGAAAAGAAGGCTCTGAGATACAGAAAAGAGGAGTGTGAAAGTTGAAACCTATCATCACATTTTACTCTGTCATAACTGGAAGAAATAATTACCTCTCTTTGAAATATCAAAATACAACTATGCATGTTATATAGTTATAGATACACATAAATGTAAGACATAAACAAGTAAATAATAATAATAAAAAGTCAAGAAAGAATGTTTTTTACTATGAAGTTTTCAGAAGAAAGTTTTACAGTTTTGGCTGTCAATTATCTAATGGTTAGTGAAAATCTCTTTCTGACACAATTTTGTACTGTTTATACTTCTAGCAAACTGAAGTCAACAGGAACACACAATGTTCACAGATAAAACCGCAACCAACAGGAGGTTTTAAAAGAAATGCTCGCAGAAGAATAAAATTAACATGGATACAAAGAAAACTGAAACTGAGCCAAATGTAAAACACAGAATAAACACCAATTCACATACACACACACACATTGTTATCTCTTTCTCCTGTATTCCAGAATTCAGTAGAATGGCTGGTTTGTTGTTCTCATTTAAGAATATTTGGGTTTATTGTAGCTCATACTGACTTGTCCAAACCTCTGAAAAACCTTTCATTTTGTATAACCTTCAACCTAAAAGAGATAGGTGATACAGATACCTGAGCAGGCAAGCTCTCTTACACAATCATTGTGGTATGTAACCTTATTTTTGGGCAGTGATTCAAGCTACTCTAGGCCTACAAACTTCCTGTTCACAAAAAGTGCAACTAAATGTAGCACTCCCACCTGAAGAAATTTTTTAAATTTATCTAAGTGCATGATTGTTTATTACAGGAAATGAGAAACAGATTTAATGTTTTGTTTGGGCATTCTTTAAGATGTATCACTCTTAGAGTATCAATGTATGTATATGTGTAGAAATTTAAAAACTGGGAAATTTAACATTTTGAATAGTTTGATTGGTTGAAAAATTCTTTGGAATTCATGATTATTTTATTTATTTATAGTTTGGTTTTAATTTTTGTATATTTATTTCTTCTAGGTGGGTCTTTATTGAACTTTTTAAGGAATCATGGTTCTTCACTCTTGCTGAATGACCTGATAGCTATGTGTATTGATGCAGCTGCAGGGATGGAATACCTAGAAAACCAGAACTGCATTCATCGGTGAGTCATCTTAATTTCATGTAAGATGATCTAGAACTAAATTCATTATGTACAGTATAAGCTTTAAGTACGATCATGGAATACCAAAACTAAATTATCATACAAATTTTATTAAAAAAAACACTTCATAATAATGTGAAAACATTCCAGAGACATTTTCCCCCACATCAGAATTCTTTTTTTTTATATTAAATAGTTTTTTACTTTCCACCTTAGTGTGGTTTATAAAAATGTGAAAGCTCTAACAGTAGTTTAAGAAGACAGTTATGTGAGAAATGATATTTTGGATATTAGATATCAGAATGAGATTTTAATGTATTAGTTTTTCAAGCAGAACCCAAACCACATTATTAGGGTGCTGCTGACTGGCTGCCATCCCTCTGGTTAGTGGATCAAAATTATGGATGGCATCATATAGCATTAGTACCTTTGTCATAAATACATCAAGGGGAAATAAGATGTTAG